TAAAAAGTACATATTATTATCCTTTTTGCAAAATGTTTGCCAATTTAAACATAAGATTAACACTTAAAACAGTATAATTGTGTTTAAAGTCACCTTGCCTTATGTTAGAATGATTTGGCAATCTGATCTATTTATTCGCGTTAAAGTGTAGCTATAGACGAATTAAGCTGTCGCCTTTAAGATATATCATAATTAATTACACAAATAAATCAACGAAAATACCCCAAAGACACGTTAATAAGAAAAGTTATTCGACAACTGATGCAATAAATAACAACATAGATATATTATTATAACGGTATTGGTCTAAAATAGTTACTATAAAATTGCTTTTTTCAGCCTTAATCTATTTTTAGATTTATCTTTTATCTTAAAACACCATGACACGGAAACTTTAGTTTTTCAATAGCTTCAAATCAAGCTTAAATTTCCTCATATCTATAATAAAGTCTTGTTAAACGTTCCGCAATTAAATCTGATACCATCTTTATGTTTCAACACTCTGAAAATAAGTTGAGTTACTCAAAACAGAACACTGACGATTTTTCAAATTACTGTATCTTAACAGCTTTAAGTATGAATTTAATCATTTAAAAGTAAAATAATTGAACATTTCAAACATAATAGATGCGACAATATTTTATCATTTTAGAAAAGTTACATTTCAAGAATATATCTATACATGTATTTGTTAATTAAAAAATAGAATGTGCAGGTTATATCAGATGTCAAATAAGCCATCTTGGTGTTTGAACAACAATTTAAGATAGAGTGAAAGTCAATAGCAAAGTTTCTTCTGGTCCAACGAAACGTTAAAAGTTTAGATTTCCAAAAGAGTTTTTTTAAAAGAAACATCTTTTTTATGTCAACAAACATATATTTATTTCAAAACATACTTAAGTTTCAAATAGAATTTTTCTTGACACCGGATAAATAACAAAGCACATTTTGAGCTAATGATAGTTAAACTGAACTGTCAATTTAGCAAACAATAATATCGCACACTTTAGATATCGGTATATTTATACAAAATAACGCTGTATACAGCACGTCTTCGATGTAAAACTATCAATTTAATAGAACCTTGACGATTGAAGGAAACGTCTGGCTTCTAATGTCTTTACTGTTTCAATGAACGGATTTATCAACCAGGTCAACTGATTTCGATCTTGACCATGACAAATAAGATCTTGAGTAATGATAGATTGATAACAAAGTTGTATTTAGGAGATATACAAGTGGCATCGAGCGTTTTTATCTCTACAAATGCTTTCTTATCCATTCAGGAAATGATATATTTAGGCTAAATTGGAATTTCCCCGTAAAGGATCGTTTTTCATTTTCTTTTCAACATTATACCAGTATTAGACCAACACAGTTGGTATATATCAAATAAGATTGACGTATTTGATAAAACGATTTTATTGACTAAAACATTGTTTAATGAAACCATAACTTTCTTTTGGGCATATTAAAATTATACTTCGAAAACATATGATTATTAATGTAATTAGATGTAATAATACTGTACAATCTAGTACTGCTATGCGTGCAGTCTATGTATGGTGTATTGAACAAACCCTTTCACAAACACGTATACACGCACACTAGGATCCTGGAGAAACGTAAAAAAGTCTAGTTAATAATAATACCCTGTAATAAAATATGACACCTTAGTTTTTATTAGTTGCACTTTCTCATGTATATTAAGATGCTGTTGACTCTGTGCTTGAAAAAAATAGTATAGTTGCAGTTTTCAGCTACACTAAGGAAAAGATTCTTAATTGAAATAGCATAGCACTACTTGTACTTACGTAAATATTCTCCTATTTGTGCGCCTTTGCTTTATCTTTTATTAAAATATTCATGAGTGGTTGCCTTAGCTTTACAGACATCCGAGCTATCCTTAATTTTTAATATTATGTTTCAAAAGTTAACAAAAGTGTTTTCGCTGATAATACAAATGACCAACTGCTATTATTTTAGAGGACATTGTATATGAACAAGAAATTCAATCAAGCACTGTAATGTTCCCTAGGTGAATGTTTTGTCATCACTGATGCTACGCTTCAAAAACCATTTCGTTCAGACTAAAGAAACGATTGAGTAGTTTGGAATTAGTCGAGACAACAAATTAATTTTCACGTCTGGCTAACGTTTAGAGACTGTGCGTTTATTTTGCTTGCTTTCGCATGACAAAACTTAGCCATTGGATTGAAATAAAGGTTCATCAAAAATGTCATATCAACCCTGTCGCTTCCTTAAATGGGTGTGTCCGTCCAACCCATAATATTATCATCTATTTGCAAACATAATGTTTATATCCGTTATTGGGATATTAAATAATAATTTACTTGAATCATTCTCTTTTTTTTCACCTTATTTTGCTTATTGTTATTTTCGAACAAAAACGACTTTACCTCAACTTTTATTTTCGTTAAAGAATAGGTTTTCTATATTTAATATACCTAAAAAAAGCATCAAGATTTAAATAGTGTCTGCAATTCTTATACAAACTGGCAAATGCATTGTACACCCATGTCAGTATTAAGGATTGCCAACTTCAAGTAACTTTGTGAATCAATTTGTGTTCAGCAGCCAAATGTGAAATCCGCCAATTTTGCATAGTCCCAAGGCAAACAAACTCCACAGAGGTCTTAAACATAAAATATTAATTTCTTACATATATCAACTGGGCCACTTCAAACGGACAGAGATGCGAAAGATAATAAAGAAATATACTCATAGGTAAATGTTATGTCGCATATTTACAAAAATGTATATGATTCATAGTCGGATTTTTGTTTTAAAGGTTTTAACACTTTTCATTCTTGTGAAGTTCTTTACACTTAAAATCATTATTGTGGTAAACAGATCGAGCACATGATTTGAAACTCAACACATAATTCACTATCCCAGACCTTCATCAAATTGTACATCAACACCGAAAAAACCAAAAACAAAAACCAACAACGAACGGGCCGATACATTTTCATATACTTTTTAGCTATTCATAATGATCTTCGTAGACACTTTTCTTTGCAAGTAACTTAAGTACAGTTATGTAGAATCACTAAAGTATTTCACATAACCATCTTTTTATTTCATTTGTATTTGGATATTATAGGCACAAAAAGGTAATACATCAAAAGTAAAAAAGAAAATCCGGGCCGTCATATAAGACGATGATAAAAAGAAAACCTATGTAAAAAGATAATATAAGTAAACAAAAAAAAAAAGAAAATTTTTAGTAAAACATATCACAGTATATTATATTGACCAATGAACTGCCAAATGCCAAAAAGCTTAATTATAAGAACAGAAAATGATTGAAAATTTTAAAATGTATTTCTGTAATGAAAGCATGGTTTTACAAAAAAAGCATTTACCTACTACTCATTTAGAAGTTTAGATTAGACCGAAACTTCGTATCAGTTTTTTTGTGTATTCAAACTTATATGTTCAAGGTCTTTATTCGAATTTTGACGACAAGGGCAGAGAAGTTAAGATTGTAAAATTACATAAGTTAAGATTGAAATATTACATTGACGTTCACATGTATGTCATCTATAGTTGTGTTCTAAGAAAGTTCCTAAAAAATGTAATATTAGGTTGAGGTTTTATGGACATTCTATTGTAGACGGCAAAAGACCCAATGAGAAAATAATGCAAAAGACCAAAATAGAAAATAATGTACGACAAGGTTTTGAAGAGCCATGCCTTATAATGTTTTTTTTTGTTATTTTAATTATTTTTCTTTACTGTATTTTAAAGATAGAAATGTCTGCCCGATGCCTATTGTCTTTCAGGTACAAGTATCGTACTGAAATTTAATTAACTGAAATTGATTCATTCCAAATACAAATTAAGCGGGAAAATTATGATGAGCCTTTTTTATATTCTTATAATATACAGCTATGTAAACTGATTAAGCTTTCTCCTTAATGCACTATCCAGTTCATTTTGGCGAATTTCTTGTCAATGCCCTACTGGGTGCATTTTTTTCGGTGGTAAACTTGATATTATAACATGCTTTTCGATGGTTTATATAAATATATCAGTGAATTTCACTGTTTGAAACAGTGAAATTATCAATTAGATAATTTCACTGTTTTGAATTTAAGCCCCTTACGTTGTTTCAGTGAAATATCAGCCTACACAGAACTGGAAACGAACTTGATAACGTGATGTCGTAAATGACGTCACGTTGTATAATTATTTGGAGCGCTATTCATTTAGTATTAGGTAAAAAAAGTCCTTTTTAACGTTTGTTTGCATGTAATAAAAAGAAAATTTGTTTAGTTTAATGTAAGATCGAAATATATTTCACCTCGTGAACAGCAAAAGTTCACATTTCACTCGTGGCTGCGCCACTCGTGAAATATTCATTTTGGTGCTCACTCGGTGAAATATTTTCCGATCTTACACTGAACTTAACAAATATCCTCTATATATTTCTAAACGCTCTCGGGGGCCGCGCTCAATGAACGTCACTTTCCGTTGATAATCTTTATTCTCAAAATTTCAGGTTAAAAGGATAAAGATTCAAATGCGAAGGTAAAGAATGAAGACATATACGTTCTTTAAAGCACAGTTTAATCTTTCATTCCTTGCATAAACTAAATCTGATATTTGCACTTGACAGTAGCGTCTATGAACAGGCTCAATCAAACAGAACCTGCAACATTTTCAATTTTGCCGTTTTGGACTTTCTTTAGGGATTCCTACTTTCTCTATTTTTGTATATGAATTGAGTTTTTTAAGATATGAAAAAAGATAAACAAAACTGAACGATGTAAACAGAACAACCTCAGACGGACAATATTCATCCGCACAGAACAACCGAAAAGTGACCTAACAATATCCCGAACATTAACGGGGGAGAGTAAAAGAAGCAAACTGCTACGGGCAAATGAAATAATAACTGCTACGTAAATACTTTAACTCTATTTTTACTTTTTTTGTCATAAATTTTTTTTTTTTGCTGAAAAAATATTTACCTCTTGGTCTGGCTGTCCTGAACTTGGGTCCTGATAATCCACATTCTGTCTTTTGATTTGTTGATGATTCAATTGATGTAGTTGCATAATATCATGTACAGCATTAGCTGCAACGTTGTAGACAAAGATAACACCGACAGCAATATACATTACTGCATTACCTTTAGTACTCCACCTTGAATAAAAGAAAAGTAAATAATAAATTCAACATTTTACCATTACCATGATTAAATGTTGAATTCTGCTTAATTAAGTCGGTGCTAGGGGCATGGACGGTTGCACTTTCCGAACCGTCCATGAACAGGCTCAGTCAAACCAATAGAATTCCATTTTTTATTGGAAAAGAAAAATGTTTAAAACAAGATCAGCAATAAACATTATTACATTTGCTGGTTTAAAAGTGACTTTAGAATTGCTATACGTTACATTGCATTAACTATCATTAACAAACATGAAAAATCAAAATAATCTTTTATCTTGTTGGTGGGCCGTGTGGTGGTTGCGTTCATTGAACGTCGTCTTTCTTTGTCGATCTTGTTTATCATATTTTACATTAACTATCTTTATAATCTTTTTAACTAAACAAACGTAAGGCCCAGTATGCCTCAGAAAGGCTGTTGTCTTTTTTTTCAAAAAAAAAAACTTTTTACTTTTGGTATTTTGTTACAGTTTCAAATAAATACTCATTTGCCACATTTATGAACTATCTTTTGCTTTTTGGTATAATTATAGCAAATTTGTATTTTGTATGGAAGTCAAAATATTATTTTATTTACATTTTGCTACCTTAATGACACCTTCATGTTCAGCACTACTTTCGTCAGTTGTAAAACATTTTGCATGTTCTAAATCCATTATTAAAGCATTATTAAACAAATGTCTGATATTTCTAAACAAAAAATATGGATTTCTGAGGCATTAGGTGACTTAATATTTTTAATGCAAATGTAAAATCAACATAGAAAAATAATAAAGTAACTATGCATTAATATTAAAAGATATCTCAATAGTTTAGTAATATATTTATTTCCCGAAAGTTTGGCATTCCTTATAAAAATTGAGTAAAATATATTTCTACTTAAGACAATGAAATAAACGCCGCCGTAAAATGATGTATTGTTAAGAATTAAACATCAGTTTAAATTAGAGATTTTTTATATTCTTCCTATAATATAATGTCTTTTCATTTCGGTTATTTTTTTATTGGTAATCTGCTTTCTTTAATTATCTATTTAAATGATAAAAAATGTAAAATGCCTCTTATTGATTTAAAAATTATTTGGTATAATAATAAATCAATTTTACCTGCGCAGAAATTATTTAGAAATTTGGAGTCATATTAAGAAACAGTCTTAGTACAATAAAGCTAAAGTCTATTTCTTCATGCTTTACAAAAACAGATTTCCTTTGATGTACAACTAGATGTTATCTCAATGAAAATGTAAATAAAATAATAAATGCAAAATCTAGCATTTTATTATAAAAAACTTACATTTTTGTCTTATTTAAAGTAAATCCGGAATTATATTTAAACGAAGAATTCTTTTCTCTGCAAGGCTGTTCCTGGACGTTTTTAAATTTAATAGTTCCTATACCCTCGGATGTTCCAATTTTTCTGCCGATGGTAACGAAAATATAATCACCTTAGTGAGCCGCCCACTTCTCTTCTTTACACCAGCGTTCGCTACTGCCGCACAATAGATACCTAATTACTAATAGATACCTTCATACACGCTCTGTATTGGAAATTGCAGTAATGGAATATCTTTTGGGCAAAATTGACAATATATCCTATATCCTAAACTTAAGAGTCCATTAATCTAATCCTTGTTACAATGCCTAACTAATGATAAGTTATTTCTATTATGCTTATACTCGGAATTCTTAAGACATCATACCGGCTTCAAGCTTTTAAGATGCGTAACTTTCTTTTGACCACATAATCTAGTTCTAACAAATGTATTCAATAAATAATGAAATGTTTCATGAACTAATTATAGTACATTTATCTCTGCCATGTATTTAGATGGGTTGTAGCAGATGCTAAGTGCTGTGTGTAGCTGTTAAATGTTGCCCCTGACCTCACTTCAGTGTTGTTATATTTTTTTAATCTTCCGGGATCAATGATTCAAACACTTGTGTTGAAAACTGAGTATTGCTCAAGACAATGCTAGGCGTGTGAAGGATGTTTCGCTTTATCATTATCCCTCGTGTACAGACTCAATCAAACCGAGTTTGCAATTTTCATAAAATTTTGTTGTGACTAATGCCTCCGACGGATCACATTTTATCCAATTCTTTTTTCATCAAAGAGTAATATCAACTTGGAACGCTCTGTTTATTATTTTTGAGACCTTAAATAATATAAAAATAGCATACGTTGTACCTATTTATATTTATCAAACAAAAGTAAGAATAACAATATAAGGATAACAATATAATTCATTTTTTATATGAAGTGTAAAAATAAGAAGATGCAATCAAATGTCAATTATTATAGTACTTGGCCTTGAAATAAAGACGTTTCTTCATAATATATGTTTCTTATCCAGAAAGATATCCTCTGATGAATAGGATAATCGATCGCTTCAACAAAACTTAGTTAAAGAAATATTGTTAAGGAAGAAATGGGAAATTCACAGATTAGCGTTAATGCGTATTTTCTGTCGTAATTACAAAAAGATAGAACTGGCACGTGATATACCATCTAGATTATCTGACAACAATATACTTTACGGGAAAGAGCTTTGTAAAGATATCCAAGTCCCTTGAGATCTAGATAATCAAATAATGTTTATGTCATAATTACACATGGCATCGAGAAGTGTTATTTATCTTTTGTTTTTTCTCGCTTTCAATAACGCTGTGTGTATTTCTTTTAATTTGTATCATTTCTAAGTTACTTTAATCAAACCGAGCCTGCCACATTTTCAATTTTGCCGTGTTGCGCTTTCTTAAGGGATTCTGTTTTTCTCCATGCTATAATACGAGGGGTGATCCAAAAATTCGTGGACACGCTGCATAAAACAAAAAGTAATAAAGCAAATCACATGAAATTCTAGTATTTTATTAAGTGAGCATATGTCGACAAATTCTCAAAATATTGTAAAGATTGTACAAGAATTAACGATTCTGCACCAGTTTATATACATAGACATGACAAAACGCGGCGCATCTCACGACGTCACAAACGACGTTATGCTATCATAGGAAGTAATCTATGTTACCGTTTTGCCTTATAACTTTTCAAAGTATTCCCCTTTAATCCGCACACATTTTTCATGGCGGCGGACCCAGTCTCTAAATGTACTCGCATACCATTCCTGGCTGAATGATGACAGTACTGTATGCATTGGGTGGCTCCTCTCAACTCGTCCAGATTGTCAAAACGTTTCCCTCTCAACTCTTTCTTTAACCTGGAAAACAAGGCGAGGTAACACGGGGAAAGATCAGGCGAATATGGTGAATGACTGAGTACTTCTGCTCCAAGCTGAGAACTAGAGAACGACACACTGACGGTTTATTTGTCACACTTTCGATCATTGATTTACACAGAACTGTATAACTGTCCGAAGTTTTGCTGGAACCGTGACGTCCATTTTTAATAAAGCTGTTTTTAGCACATATTCTTCAAAGCACGAGCGTAAAATAACCGCAACTTCAAAATGTCTTCTAATACTGACAGAATGACGTCATACACATCAAAACAACGTAATTATAACGTTTCCCGCAATTTTCTTTGTTGGCACAGGTTTTACATGTGTTTAAATGAGATGAAAACGTTTACATCACAGAGAAAAAGTAAGCTGCGCCGCGATTTTGATACTTAATGTTTTTATGTTGTCATATATAGATATAAAATGCAATTGGTGTTTTAAAATTTGGTCAATTTATTAAAAAAGCATTGATTAATAATATCCAAAGAGTTCACCTCGGTAGAACGTCACGTTATGGAAATACACACATTGTCCACGAATTTTTGGATCACCCCTCGTATTTGAAAAGTAAAGTCACGAAACGAAAACAAAATGAAGATTTCAGAAGGCAGTTAAATAAAGGCAGTTAAATAAGAATGATCATATAAGCCGTGCTGTATAGATTGGCGCCATGTATTGTAAAATCATTTAAAAACGTAATTTCTCCTGCTTTGAAAAAGACATGGGATCTTTTAAGTCAGTTCCTTAGCCACAGTGCCTTACCTATTTATTATACTACAATATGTGATTATATAAAATCTTTTGTGTGAAAGTGTTTTGTATAGTTAAAACAAAAAGCCATGTGTGAAACATATTTTTAAAATAATCATTCCTATGAGATTTTTATATTTAGTATTTTTACATTGTCTATGAATATAAATGACCTAGTTACTGCCCTTGGGGAGAGCTAGTAAATTCTTTGAGTTACGTAAAATGATATTTTCAGGGAAATATTTTTAGCGAGGTATATTATATGTTATTTTGGTTTTGGAGTGATATATGTGGATATATTACCTGTTAAGATTTTATATCACCCGAGCCGTAATTTTATTACCCTTCCCCTGCCGAGTTTAGACGATTTTTTAAAAAATCATTGCTGTTTCAAATGAAACGTCGAAATAAGATTCCCTTTAGGATACCTCTTCGTCACAACATGACGTCACATAAATACATGACGTATTTTTCCCGTACCTTACGAAAGTAAACAAGAGAAAAGGAGTAGTCTATTGAACGCACTTTTTTGTAATTAATATCAAGCTTTCACAAGGTCATATTTGTTTTCGATACTGATGGTAATATGTATCATTACTCTACTTTGGTAAATATTGATCATTTGACAGTTAAAAAGTGCTTTTAAATCGGAATTTACACCGCGTAAAATCGAACCGTACGCGCATCACCTCAGCGCATGTTGTTTACAACGTTGGGTACCAAACGGGGAAATTTAGTGTGTATATTACCCGTCTGGCTCGGTTATATCAATTTCTTTCGGGTGTCAATCAATATCCAATCAAAAAGGCGGAAAAAATCTGGAAGGGTAATAAATAAATATAGTACTTACTAAACATGACAAAAAGAAAGTGAACCTTACAATAAAACTCAAACAGTACAGTAAATCTTACATTGTGTATAATGTACCACTCAGACACATCCAAAGAGGAAACATATAGCTAAGATTAAAAATCGTTTATACTGGAATTGAAATGTCTGACCAAACCGATGTGCCAGAAAAAAAGATTGACCGCCAATAGTTTATTACATGTGTATTTTCAACTTACATTTTTAATGAGATAAGAATATAATATTCATTTGTAAAATATTTCTTTGGAGGTTCAAGAATGAGTTTGCCACCCGCTTGCCTTCTCGGACGCTTCTTTTTTTAACCAGACAGTGCTATTAAAGCGTAAATGATAGAAATTAAAGAGAAAGTTTTGTTTAAAAAATCCAGACTGACAATCAATTGTTCCTCTGATAAAGAAACAGCGGCGACTGTCTTTCTCAAGTTTAAAAACAATTTTAGATATGTCTACTGAAATTTCATTGATCTTGCTGAGATTGATATAACATCTCTATGAACTCTTTTTTCTCTCTTTTTTATAATACACGGTCGGCAATCCCAGACAGGTACGAAGCTTCTTACCTGACAAAGATAACGCCCTATTTCTTCCCTAACATTAATAAAACATTTAAACTATGCTTTGTTAACGTACTTGCGCCCGATGGGATTTTGGAAGATCGACTATATCGTTAGAGAAAATACATACATGTTTTTGTGAATACAATTCTATTTTATTTTGTAATCTCACTTTTATAATGTTTTATTACTTGACCTTAGAGGGACTCAACGTTTTGGCAAGACACTGTGGAACTGGAAATATTCGGGACTTTTTTTTACCATTTGTTATTGGTCTGCACCAATAACCTGCGAGCAAAAGTTTTAGATAATTCGCTTATTCCGTCTTTCCAGAATATTGCTTTTATTTTGCAAAATTACTTAAAAATAGAATGAGTTTTAAACGCTTTTAACTCAAAATTGATTTTTAAATTCTATGTTTTTCATTATCCTCTGCGTGATTTTTTTCGTTTAAAGTGTCTAAAATAGATAAATACAGAATCCCTAAAGAAAGCCCAAAACGGCAAAATTGAAAATGTTGCAGGCTCGGTTTGATTGAGCCTGTTCATGGACGGTACTTGAAAGTGCAAGTTACCGTCCACGCCCCCTAGCACCGGCTTAAGCAGAATTCAACATTTTAACATGAAATAGTAAAATTTTGAAGTTTTGAATTCTCTAAGTTGATCTATGTTTGAGAGACATTTTTTATGATATAACACTTTTGGACCTCAGTGGAGCTCCTTCATATTATATAATCAGACACGCCCAGAGTATCGCGCAAAAAAACCGGCATTCAAAAGAGCGAAGCATGTACAAATTTAAAGTATTGTAATTCAATGTTTTTAGTGTTGTTATAAATATAGCACTTTTCAGTTATACTTTATCCTTTTTTTCTATACTGTTGTATCATTTTTTTACATAACATATTTTTATATGTTCATAAAATATATATTTTATTACTTAAGAATAATTAAACATTTTTTTGTCAAGAGTCAGAAATACTCTATTTTTTTCAAGAGATGTTCAGGTCATATTTAAATAAATTTGTAATATTTATGATTTTTCAATTCGAATTAGGCCTGTTTGCTTATTTGTAGTAATATTGAGTTCATGTATTGTTTATCATTGTTTTAGATAACCTTCCATCTAGTTGTTTATAGG